TGACTCCTATATCACAGCACCACCAATGCTGGAGGACTGAATGCCAGGCAAAAGTGTTTCCAATGAAAAACAATAAACAAAAATGTTATTGCCTTGAACATTTTAAGAGTTCCATTGCCAATGCCATAAAATTATGGCAGCAAACAATATTATCTAAATAAATTGTTGTTGTGCGTGTGTGTGTGTGTGTTGAGACAGAGGAAAATAGTCTTTCCTGGAAGTAAATTCAGAATCAGCAGTGTAAGACAAAAGTCCTTGATGTCTTTGGTTGCTTTTTGTTGTTATGCCAACTAATGATAAGGTGGAACATACTACTCAAAGCCTTTGGAATCCTTGGTTGTAATCCTTCCTGGAGTATCCAATGTTTGTCTGTTCAAACTATCTGAATCCCTTGATTAGGCTGCTGACTGGTAATCACTCCAAATATGTGTTACTTTACATGTAATTTAAAAAAAAAACAAAGTCTTTGAGTTGCTTAATGAGTTTTCCATATTTTCTGTTTGATTCCCAAAAAAACCCAATTCTCTGCAGGTGACAGATGGTTCTGTGGTTGCCCTGGTGCCCAAACAAACAACAGCATACAACGCTGCCAATAATTCAACTGTATCTCGAACCTCAGCCAGCAAATACGGTGAGTTCTGTTCTCCCCACCTCATTTCAAAAGACCCTCTTTTTTTTTTACAGAGAAGTCCTTGCACTCCCATAATCTTCCTCTGCAATTTCATTCCATCCATCTATTCACTGGCACAGGAAAGTGAAATCCCATGAGGATTAAGTGCTATGATAAGTTTGGAGTTTGCACAACAGAGGTAGATGGCAGAATGTTAATTAACATGTACAGTTACACAGAATTTACAACACAGAAATAGGCCATTTGGTTCAAAGAGTCCAAATCAGTGTTTACAGAAATTGCTGGAAAAGCTCAGCAGGTCTGGCTGCATCTGTGGAAAGAAATCAGAGTTAATGTTTCGGGTCGAGTGGCCCTTCCTCAGAACTGTTTCTGAGGTAATTTTGTTTCTGATAAACAGCATCCGCAGTTCTTTCGGTTTTACGTAACCTTGTACGCTCATCTCTTCTTTTCTCCCTCATGTACTTATCACGCTGTCCCTTAAATGCATTTACACTTTCCCACTGATATCCATCCTCTTCACCTTGAGACGATGACTGTTGATGAAGTAATGGTTCTATAGACACAGATATACTTCCAATACTTTGCTTATGGGTCCAGCCCTGATGTCTGGCTCTAGTGACTACCACCAGCAGATTTGACTATGGGTTCACAATAGCTCTGCCATCCCCCTCTAGTCATATGTGCACACATGTGAAGTTTACAGCAGGGGATGACTATTTGATGATCAGAAAGTGAAGGCACTGGGCTGTGATCGGGAACAGGTGCCCTGGATAGTTTTCGGGAGTGATTGGATCAAACCCACCTTTCATATAATTGGAATAAGTAATCCATTTGTGCATCCCCACAGCTGACATCATGGAATTTAATCTGTTTAGCACATAAACAAAAACAGAAGTTGCTGGAAAAGCTCAGCAGGTCTGGCAGCATCTGTGAAGAAAAATCAGAATTAACGTTTCGGGTCTGGTGACCCTTCCTCAGAACCAATGGTAGCTAACAAAATGTCTGTTTATGTGCAGAAGATAGGGTTGGGGGAGGGGTAAGGAGTAAGCAATAGGTGGGGATAGAGCCCAAAGACAGAGAAGAACAGTTGGACAGACGAAGGAGTGGATAATGATCTGGCCAGGAGGGTGAATAGCTGTTAATGGAGACTTTAATTGGTTAACGATAGGTAGTGTGTAATGGCAGTCTATGTGGTAACAAGGCCTGGTGTGTAGGATAGGAGGCTAGGACATGGGAGAGTTCAGGCCTTAAAATTATTGAACTTGATATTGAGTCTGGAGGGCTGCAGGGTCCCCAAGTAGAAAATGAGGTATTGTATTCCAGCTTGCGCTGATCTTTGCTGGAACACTGTGGTTTTTCAGTTCTTTTTTCTGTCTCCACAAAGCTGGATTAAATTTGGGGAGTTGACAGTGTTGGTAATATGGTCCAGCCTATTGATTTTAGGGGCTTCGTGATCACAGTTGCCTATCTCAGGCAGTCGACGATTTGTAGCTAGTTTTTGACATTTTATCGAGTTTGTTAAGCAGCAGTTTAGATATTAGATAAAGGAAGCATACAACATTGACAGTGGGGGATGGCTCACTGATATAAGAGAACACACAGTATGTCAGCACAGAATGTTTTGGTCCCGTTTAAGATGGTAGGGACCACATTTTGCTCTCTAGTCGAAGTGTTAGGAAACATTCTCTGGGTCTTTCTCCTCCTATTCTGGTCCATCTATCCCAGGAGCTATCTCAGGACTGCCTGACAAGAACATCCCTCCGTCCTTGGACACTTAACCATCATGTCATATTTCTAGGACCAGGCTAATTGTCTGAACTCTTTGGCCACTGGTCATGGGACAACTCCACATGACATCATGTGACCATTGTCCCTTTGCCTATGTCCCTTTGAAGGTTAGTTTTCATTCCTTCTGACAACAAATCCTTCTAACTTTCAAAGACGGGACACTGATAATAGGGTACAATTGGCACCAAATAAACTGTTGATACTAGTATCAAAAACAAAGTTGCTGGAAAAGCTCAGCAGATCTGGCAGCATCTGTGAAGGAAAAAACAGAGTTAACGTTTTAGGGTCCGGTGACCCTTCCTCAGAACTGACCCGAAATGTTAACTCTGTTTTTACCTTCACAGATGCTGCTCAACCTGCTGAGCTTTACCAGGAACTTTATTTTTGTTCCTGATTTACAGCATCCGCAGTTCTTTCAGTTTTTATTTTGTTGATACTAGTATAATGTGCGTCATGACCTCTGTGTTGTTTTGAAATTCTTCCCTTTATTTTTATATTCTGCTATTTTAGAAGGTTAATTACTACAGTAATAGGTGTCAAATGCAATCTTATGCTGCACAGTAAATACTAAGAAAATCCACTTTTTAACAGTCTCCAATTTCCAGCAAACAGCTACATGAAGCCCAGAAGAAAATTACCCTCCTCTGCCCTTCATCCATTGTATCGGTTAATTACCTTTCTCCAGGAAAAATTGGCAATTTGGAAGGTCTCAAGCCTTCGTGAAAGTCACTACATGAATGCAAGTCTGTCTGTTTTTCTTGTAGAAACCATGATCCGATATACGGGCAGTCCTGACAGTTTGCGCTCTCGCACTCCGATGATCACACCTGACTTGGAGACAGGGGTCAAGGTCTGGCACCTGGTCAAGAACCATGAGCACGGAGACCAGAAGGAGGGAGATCGGGGCAGTAAGATGGTGTCTGAGATCTACCTGACTCGGCTACTCGCTACAAAGGTAATGTTAACAATGGAAAATTTGGGAAAACGTAGATCTGTGTTAACCCCATTCTTCAATACAGGCTGTGAAATTACCCCAGGAAAAGTACTCTTCTGTTCTTGTCGGGAGCCCTTGCCAGTAAATTTGACCCTCGGGTAGATGGAGGGGTATGTAAGATGGCCAGTAAACCAAGTGAGAATTCCCTGTAGCAAAGGAAATCTGCTATCTGTTCCTGGTCTGTGTGATTGCAGACTCACAGCAACGTGATTGACTCTCAACAGTCCTCTAAAATGGTCTACCAAGACATTCAGTTCTATCAATTGCTAGAAAGTCTCAATAAAGGAATGAAATGAGACAGACCACATGGCATCAACAAAGGTATTGGAAATGACAATGGCAAGGTAATCCTTAACATCTGGGGACTAGTGCCAATACGGGTAGAGTTTGCTCACAGATTAGTCAAGCATTAGCTTGACAACGGTATGATTCCATGAGGATCACTTGCACACTGTCACAAACAACACCATCACATCTCCGGGTATATGTCCTGTCCCACCAACATGACTCAGATGGTAGCATAGTGGTATACAGTCAGACGGGAGCTACCCTAAGAGTCCTCAATATTGACTCTGGCACCCCTGGATTCACAGGGCATCAAGTCAAACATGGACAAGGAAACCTTGTTGATTATCTGCCCACTTGACTGATGAATCAGTACTCTTCAATGTTGAACATCACTTGGAGGTGTCGTTAAGGGTGGCAAGGGCACAGATGCACTCAGGATGGGAGATTTCAATGTCCACCACCAGCAGTGTATCAGGAGCACCACTCATGACCAAACTGGTTGAGTCCTACCAGGATATAGCTGCTAGGCTGGTTCTGCAGGAGGTAGGGAGGAACCAACAAGAGGGGAAAACATACTTGACCCCATCCTCAACAGTTTGCCTCCTGTAGATGTATCTGTCCGTTACAGGATTGGTAAGAGTGACCACTACCTAATCCTTGGGGATATGATGTGTTTTGTGGCACACTCACCACGCTTAATGGGATAGACTTCGAACTGATATTGCCACTCAAGACTGTGCAACCATGAAGCACTGTGAACCATCAACAGTAGCAGAATTGTACACCAGCATAATCTGCTACCTCATGTCCTGGCATCTCCCCCACTCCGCCATTGCTATCAAGCCAGGGGATCAACCCTGATTCAATGAAGAGTGCAGGAGGGCACGTCAGGAGCAGCATTGGGCATAGCTAAAAATGAGGTGTCAACTGGTGAAGCTATGGCAAACAGCATAAGCAGCAAGTGATAGAATTAAGCAAATCAACAACAATGGATCAGATCTAAGCTCCGCAGCCCTGCCACAGCTGGCTATGGATGATGGTGGACAATTAAACAATTCATTGGATTCACTGCACAAATATCCCCATCCTCAACAAAGGAAGAAGCCAGCACATCAGTAAAAAAAAATAAAGCTGAAGCATTTGCAATGATCTTAGCCTCCTCAGTGGTCCCCAGCATTACATCACAGATACTGGCCTTTAGCTAATTCAATTCACTCCATGTGATATTAAGAAATGGCTGCAAGAACTGGATAGTGCAAAGGCTATGGGACCTGACAACATTCCAGCAATAGTACTGAAGACTTGTGCTTCAGAACTTGCTGCTCCCCTACCCAACATGTTCTAGAACAGCTACAACATTGGTATCTACCCAAGAATGTGGAAAATTGCCTACGTATGTCCTGTATACAAAAAGCAGGAGAAATCCAAGTAGCCAATTACTGCCCAGTCATGATAATATGATGGAATGCTCCCCACTCACCTGGCTGAGTTCAGCTTCAATCAAGAAGCTTGACACTATCCAGGTAAAATCCAGGCCACTTGATTGGTACCACATCCACTCCCTCTATCACCAGTGCACATTTGCAGCAGTGTGTACTGTTTACACAATGTAGTGCAGAAATTCTTCAGACAGCACCTTCCAAAACCATGACCACTACCATCTAGAAGGACAAGGGCTGCCGATACAGGGGAACACCACCATCTGCAAGTTCCCTTCAACTTCTGACTTGGAAATATATCGCTGTTCCTTCAGTGTCACTGGGTCAAAAATCCTGAAACTTCCTCCCTAATGACATAGTTAATCCACTTAGGACAAATGGACGGCAGTGATTAAAGGAGGCACCTTACCTTCTCAAGGGCGACTTGGATTTGGTAATAAAAACTGGCCCAGCCAATATCTCATGAATGAATTTTAAAAAATGAAGTACAAGGTTAGGGTGGGAAAGCAAAGCAATTTTGGATTGCTCTGGGAGAGAGACCTCACAGGGATGATGGCCCGAGAATCCCTCAAACCTCGTTGAGTCTTGGTGCAGAGACCCATTCTTCCCTCGGTATTAACTGAAGGCAATTATGCACAGTGCTAGCAGAAAATCCCAAGACTATTCACTTTTTTTGCAACCTTCTCCAGTCAAAAAAAGGAATCTGGGAATTAAATCTTTAAACAGGAACTTTCCAAAGTAAGCCCTTGTGCTGCCACATTTAAAAGCAACCTTACTTTAAGTGGGTGCCAGCTAGGACATCTGATACACTCTTCCAATCTGTATGTGAATGATATTTTTTATTTTGTGTGGGTGGGTGGTGTTGGATGCATATTCATCTCTGCAAGGAGAGAGCCAGGTGTGTTCAGTACCTTATGTTAAATGAAGCGTGACAATTTGAACCAGGGAGCAGGAGATCTGCCCTGTTAATTTTTGTGATGCTCTATCTATTTTATTTACAAGTTAATGGAGAAGTGAAGATTTCTTCTGTTAACCATTTGTGATAAAAGCATGTCATGCACGCCACATAGAGACAATCTTCCCCTCCCAGTGAGGCTCTTTCTGTCTCTCACACATTCACACACACACACACACACACACACACACACAGATAGACAGACAGACACACATACACACATAGACACAGACACACACAGACACAGACACACACACACACACAGACACACGTACACACACAGACACACGTACACACACACACACATACACACACAGACACACACATACACACAAGTACACACACATACACAAGTACACACACATACACACACACATACACACACACAGTGCCACAGAGGGGAGGGAAGCTCCTTTCAGGAGACCACTGTATAGTTCCTGTTGGCCAGCAAAGAGTGAGGGATGGGCTTCCTTCTGCCTCTCTGAAGGAGAATTAATTGATTGAAAAATCCTCAATTGGGGCAGTTGCGGAATTATTATGTCAATACAAAGGCAAGTAATCATGGCCCCAAACATAGTTATAGACAATCATTAAAATGAAAGTAAAATACCAAATAATAAAAAGGATTGTGTGAAAATGAACATTTCAATATGCAAAAAATTGCAATACATTACAAATGCAGGACTCCTTAATTTATATGATAATTTACAGAATGGATGAGAGATGTCCCCAATAAAGCAGAAAGGTAGAGTGTATCCTTTCATTTCTTCCGCACCTGCTATGGCTTTGAATCCTGCTGGAATACAGTATGATAGGCCTAGGCCAAACTAATACCTCTCCCACATTGCTGAGACTAACATATACTCACACATGCAGATGCACACATTCTCACACAACAACATGGCTAAATGTGTCCAAGTAGGTACAATAGATTATATTTGGAAATAACAAATTGAGTTAAAATAATAGAAGTGTGCACAGAATGAGAAAGAAGAATATATAGATGCTATTGGAAATAGTGATAGATACAGAGAGAGAGGTTAAGGGAGGAAGATACAGAGGAACAGATAATTCAGTATATAGAGAATGTAAGGTGGAAACAGGCAAAGATTAGCAAGAAGAAAACAAAACAAAACAAAACAGTATACAGTGGTGACCATGGAAGTTCATAGCCTGAGCCTCAAGGAATTGCTTGTGTTGCTGAAACACCCTGACCTGTTTCAGTCGTTGTTGGTGCCCGTGCCAATGTGCCAATGCGATGAGACAAAGCTGACAACCCAGCACTTCCTGCCACTGCTCAACCAACCTATTCAAACACACTATCACACACCCGCAGGGCAGCTGGGACTGGAGGTCAGGCCTTCTGGCCCAGAAGTAGGGACGCTTCTGTCACTGTGTCATACAACTGCCATGTTAATTGAAGCTAGACACCAGGAGCTGCCCCGGTGGGGTTTGAACCCATGTAATGCAGAGTACTAATCCAGTGACATTACCACCATATTCCCCCACCGTTCCTGCTTTGTACTGGAGCTGCTCAAGTGAACCAGACTGTGGTGCTGGGATTTACAGCTGAACAGTTTTATTTTCGCTGCAGATTCTGCACAAATCTGATGCAAACAGCAAGGCTTGGACCAGTCCCTGCCAGGATTTGTAAACTCACACAGTGGTCCTCTAGTTTTGGGAACATGGTGTGACTTGAAACTGACGGCTAGTCCTGAGCACAGACGCGCCTCACCGTTTTCATGCTTCACTCAGAGGTCAATGAACAGGCATCCAATCGCATGATCCTATTAATAGAGTTGAAGTACCCTCCCTGATTACAGCAATTACGTCTATGATTGGGACATTAGTTTAATTGCCCATATAAAGCCATTAACTTTGACACAGCCAATGTAAATCCTCTTGACCTGCGTTTGTGCTCAGTGTGCCTCATCCAACTCCCAGTACACTGCATTCCATGATCACAAAGACAGCAGACTTGAAATTACAATGTCGCTGCTCAGGATTCAGGAGGTGCTGGCTGGAGGCAATTGTTTCTCTGTGATTTTCATGGTTCAGTGAAGAGGACTCTCTCCTCCTTCTCACCCAATAGTCCCTTTGAGTCCTGTAAATAAAACGACTAACAACAACATACAGTCCCTTTGATGCAGTAAAATGTACCAAACTCTTCATAGAAGTGTGAATCAGACCAAAAATTAGCACCAGGTCAAAGGAGGCACTATTTGGACAGGTGGCGACTGAAGGAGGATAGGAAGAAGTGAATAAATTTGGGCAATTCCAGACTAAAGGCAAGGTTGTTGGTGATGGACCTGCAGAAAGTCAGGAAACAAAAATAGCCAGAATTGGAAGACTACATCAACCTCAGAGCGTTGCAGGCATCACTCCTTCTCATAGATTCTTAATTCATAGAATCCCTACAGTGTGGAAAGAGGCCATTCAGTCCATCAAATTCGCACCAACTCTCCAAAGAACATCCCATCCAGACCCAGCACTCCTACCATATCCTCATAACCCCACAATTTCCATGGCTAATCCACCTAGCCCTGCACATCTATGGACTGTGGGAGGAAGCCGTAGCACCCGGAGGAAACCCACACAGATACGGGGAGAATGT